GCACTCAAGGAATACATGGCCATACCGTGGAACGCATTACCTTTCCCAAAAGGTAGATTGCCAAACCAAATATCGTGCCATGGTAAACTTGAGGTGGAACAGGAATTGGGCTGGGAAAACTCTGCAAATTATAATTGAATTTGAGTGGCGGGCCTATCTCGAAACAAACAACAAGCCGTCACGACAAACACTCATAACTATACTCCACGGGGTCACCAATAATGAGTCGCAACTGTCCCCTAACGGGGCGTCTGGTTGATCCCCCGACACCCAAGGCACCACGTACATGCATGTGCTAGCCCATCTGTGATGAAGTTCACTTAAAGTCCATATCGCAAGGATGCCCACATTACCAATGGACATCCACGGCAAAAGACACCCTGCTCAGCGAGAACCGCGCGCGATGCGTGCGCGCTTGCCCACAGCATGCGCCACATGCTCATCTTGTTTACGCCCGATCACACGCAAGTCTGCAGACTGACTCCTTCAATGCTCCGTTCATGTGTCTGTCCGTTCGGTCCCCCCTTCCCCTCGTCATCACGTTTCACCATTAGCCGTGCTCGGTGTGAGCTCCTACTCCTTCCTTCACTCGCCTTGTCCTCGCGCCTTACGCTGGCACCAAAGTCCATAGTAGGCTCCTGGACAATGCGTTTTGCGAAGAATTTCCCACGTTTCCCTTATTCAAGCAAGTCCTGCACTGCTGGAGGTCGGTTCAATTTTTTCACCAACCGTCCTGTGGTGTCGAGTCCCCGTTTTGGACCCACGGCGCCCCGCGTCTCCTCTCCTCAGACTCTTCCTCCTCCTCCCCCTCCTCCTCGAGATCCTCCTCCTCCTCCTCCTCCTCCTCCTCCTCCTCCTCCTCCTCCTCCTCCTCCTCCAGGATTCCTCCGTTTTCTGTCCTTGCCTCCTCCGTCCGCATGTTTTTTTTGTTCGTGCCCCCACAGGGAACTCCACCGAAGAATCTTGCAGCAGGGTTCTGATGCGCCCCCCCGACCACTTCGGCGCACCTCTCACCATCTTCTTGGCCCACGGAGAGCTCCACCGAAAGCTCTTGTGGCGCACCCCTCACACGTTCCGTTGCCCAGCACGAAGGTTCCTGTGGCAGTGCGCCCCCCCGCTCACGCTGGCGCGCCCTTCGCGCGGCTCGTGGCCCCCATCAGGAGCTCCACCGAGGGTCTGTGGCACAATTCGTATATGCCTCCCACGTTCGTTCCGGCGCACCCCTTCACATGTTTCATGGCCACACCAGGAATTCCATCAACAGTCTTTTTGCGGCAATGTTCGCATGCGTCCCATGGATACTTCGATACATCCCTCACACGCTTCGTGGCCCCACTGGAAACTTCACTGAAGGCTCCTGTGGCAGAGTTCGGGTGCGTTCCCTCGCCCATGTCGGCACTCCCGGCACACCACTCACACGCTTCGTGGCCCCACAGAGAAGGCTACACCGAAGGCTCCTGTGGCAAGCGTCGCATGTTTTCCGGCCGATTCGGGCGCATCCCTCACTAGCTTCGTGGCCCCACAAAGAGCTCCACCGAAAACCCGTGTAGCAGGGTCCGCATGCGTCCCCACGACCACTTCGGCACACCCTTCACACAATTCGCGGGGGCCACATGGAACTCCACCGAAGGCTCTTGTGACAAGGTGTGCATGCATTTTCCCGCCGATATCGGCGCGCCCCTCACACGTTCCGTGGCCCCACGGATAGCTCCATTGAGGGAAAAAAAAGAAAAAAAAACAAAAAAAAAAAAAGAAAAAAAAAAGAAAAACAAACGAAAAAAAAAAAAAAAAAAACAAAGAAAAAAAAAAAAAAAGAAAAAAAAAAAAAGAAAAAAAGAAAAAAAAAGAAAAAAAAAAAAAAAAAAAAAAAAAGAAAAAAAAAAAAAAAAAAAAAAAAAAAAAAAAGAAAAAACACAAAAAAACAAAAAAAAAAAAAAAAAAAAAAAAAAAAAAAAAAAGAAAAAAAAAACGAAAAAAAAAAACAAAAAAAAAAAAAAAAAAAAAAAAAAAAAAAAAAAACAACAAAAAAAAAAAAAAAAAAAAAAAAAAAAGAAAAAAAAAAAAAAAAAAAGAAAAAGAAAGGGGTTTTGGTGGCAGGGTTCGCGTGCATCCCCCGTGCCCACCACGGCGCACCAGACACATCGCCTGGCCTCTTAAGGAATTCCCCCTCTTTCGTCCCAACTGCATCGCGGCAGTCACGCTTGCATATGGTTGGGACCATCGCCTGGAAAATTCAAACGGGGCCCTTGTACAACTGGCTTGCCCGTGGGGCCGGCCGTCTTGGTGCGCCTCTGGTAATGGATCAGCTATCATTATGGATCTTATGGGGGTGGACATGGGGCGGGAAGGCGTATAGCATCATATTAAATCCGCCGACCCTGTCGGCATGTGGGAAGGGCTCTTACGTTCGTCGTCTTCGTCGTCGTCGTCGTCGCTGTTCCCCCTCTTTCCTCGGGCTCTCCTCCTTAGGCGCGCCACCCCAAAACGAAATTGAATATCCTCGTGCGTAGTTGAACCGAAAGGGAACCTCTTCCCTTGATCATTTTCCCGCGGGGGGGGGTGTCCCGCAGGGGGTCCCCGGGGGGGTCCCGGGCCAAGATGCCACCCTCCCGGGGTCTCCCGAACTTCAGACCAAACGCAGAAACCGTCCACGAATGCAACGAGAAGCTTTCGCCCGGGTCCACGAGAAACCCGCATCGCCGAACGATCCCTTGTTCAGCGCCCAAGAAGGTTTTCAGACACCCCGAGAGGGCTTCGAAAGGGGGCCCAGACGGAGGGCCCGAACGGATAATTCGAGCCTTCAGCCCCGAGAAGTCTCCAGGAACCCTCCAGGTGACCCCCAACAACTTCCCAAAAGCTCTCAAACGCCCCCCGGGAAGTTCTCCAAAAGGGCCCCCAAAAGCCCGAGAGGCCCCCCGAAAACACCCAAAACTCCCCGAAAGGGCCCCGAACGGCCAAAACGCCCGCAATGGCACATGAACGGCAGGAATCGGATCGAAATCATATTGCCCGCGATCACTGGTCGACCTCGGACCCGCGCCCTCTTTACGTCGCGCCCCTCGAAACTTAGCCCCCATCCTCCTCCTCCTCCTCCTCCTCCTCCTCCTCCTCCTCCTCCTCCTCCTCCTCCTCCTCCTCCTCCCCCCATTCCCCCCCCCGCGCTCCTCCTCCGCGCGCTTGTCGAGCCCCGGCGTCGCCGACTCACGAGTCGGATCGGATCGCAGCTGCGTCGGCGCGATGCCGGGTCGGGGCAAAATTGTTCGCGATCGCGGATGGAACTAGAACCCTGCAAGCTGGACATCGCGCCGCGCTCGTGGTAATCTTGTTTTGTCTCGTTATCCTCCTCGAGTTCCGTGCACTTCTCAAGTCGACGCTCGCTCGAATATTCATCGCCCCTCGCCGCTTTCCGTCTTCGCCCCCCTCCCCCCTTCAGAGGAGAGGGCGCGGCGACGCGGCGACGGGCGAGGCGGGGGGCTGCTCCGGGATGCCCAGATTTAGGTGAAAAGCTGGGATTGAAAAGTCACGTTGTCGGAAATCTCGTCTCTCGGCCGCTCGCCTCCGGGCGGGAATTTCAATGGGGATCCAGCCGCGGCCGCAAGTGGCCCTCCAGGGGCCCGAGAAGATCGAGGAACGCAGAGAAACATTACCTTTAGATGCTCAACGGGAGCTGACCATCGCCCTGGAAGCAGCCAACTGTTTGCGCAAAGTTCGCTGCCCCTCATGCGCGCAGCGGCAATCGTGCCAACGATGCGCAGGTCCTGGGTCGCACTGGCCGCTGTCAGGGCAAGCCCGCAGGACTCCAGCGCCAGGCGGCGTCGCGCGCCCTTCGTGCCCGAGCGGGCGGCGACGAATTGTCGTTGCCGTAAAATTCTATCGCGTTGAAGGAATCCTTTTTTTGTGTCCTCCTCCTCCTCCTCCTCCTCCTCCTCCTCCTCCTCCTCCTCCTCCTCCTCCCCCCCCTCCTCGGATGCGCGCCAGTATCGACGGCACCGAATGCTGACTGGTCAGGGTCCACGGATCGAGGAGGGGCGCGCCATTGGCCCGGGGCCCCCGACTCCGAGGCGCGCGTCTGGCGGGCAGCCTGAGGAGAGCAGAACGCAGTGGTGGGCGTCAGAAGCAGCGATACAAAACAGGGCTAGGATCGGGATAAATCGCTCCAGAGCGTTCTGGAGCGCTCTCAGAGCGTTCCGGAACGCTCTGGAGCGGCCGCGGCGCCCAATACATCCTCCAAACCCGCCGATTCTCAGAGATTTCGAGTTATCCCGATCCGATTTTGTCCCGATCTTCGCGTCGTTTTACGACAGCACGGGGTGGGCCGCGACCACCTCTACCACCCTCAAATCACCACCTTGTCCAAGTACGCGCCCCTCCCCCATGTCCCCCTCTTGCTCTCTTGTTCCGCGCCATCCGCGGCGCAGCCCCGCCATCCCTAACCCGAGGACGCCTCCGAGAACCCCCCCGGGGTCATCGCTGGCACCTCGCCGAGATTTAATATTTCCAGGGGGGCCGTTTTCGCAGAATATCTTTAGCGCCTCGCGCAAATCATAAAATAAGTTCCGCGGCGCGTCGCGCGCCGCGCGACGCGCGAGAAGAAATCCTCGGGGATGCCTTTTGGATATGCCGTGCATTCCTTGGACATGTTACGGGCCAGCACAGGTTTGGAAGTGCTCGGCAGGGCTCAGCAGCGCTCAGCAGGGGCCAGCAAGGCTCGGCATGGGCTTAGCAGGGCGCGGCAGGGATCAGCAGGGGGCGAGCCTGGCTTATCATTGCATAGCAGGGCTTAGCGGGAGCTAAGCAGGGCTCAGCAAGGCCCAGCATGGCCCCGAGCGCTCTCTGCGGGTTCCTCCGGCGCCGAGGTGGCGCTTCCAGGGTGCCGGATGCGTTACACTTTCACCGGATGAGGGGTGCGGGTGGTGTGGGGGGGTTCTCGAGTGCTTCCCGGGGTTATCCTGCTCAACGCCCCCTTGCTATCCCCGCCGGTGCTCAGCCCCACCCCCCCCTTAAACCTCGGCCTCCACGTCCCCGTGCACGCCCGCGTCGTCGCCGCCCCCCTCCTGCTGCCCCCCCTCCTCGTCATTCATCTTCACCTCCTCCACCTCCCCGGCGTCGTCTTCCGCCCCCTCCTGCCGGCGCGCGTGGGGGGGCCCGCGGGGGCTAGGGCGGCGCGGGCCGTCAAATCGAGCGCAGCCCGCTCCAGGGACGCCGGGGCGGCGGCATCCTAGCAGCCCCGCCGGACAAGGCGCCAGTCCGACGCGTAGTGGCGGGGCAGGACTTGAAAGCATCGGCCGGCCCTGGTCGACGCCGGCGCCGTCGCAGGCGTCGCGCTTTGCGTCGGCGCTGGAGTCGCCGGCCTCGCTGACGATAACATTGACGCTGGCGTCGTCGCGGCGCGTCAGTCCAGCGCGGTGGCCAGACGCAAGACCCGCGGTCGGGGGGCCGCCGGTGCTTCCGTCGACGCCGGCGTCAGCGCCGACGACGCAGGCGTCGACGCCTGCGTCGATGGGGGCGTCGTTGCCGGCAACGACGCTGGTTGTTTGGTTGTATATGTGCGGATTGTGCTGGCGTCGCGGCAGGCGTGGGCGTTGACGCCAATGCTGGAATCCGCGCTGAGTCACCGACGAAGTCGGGGTCGATGCTGGAAGAGCTGGAAGGCGTGCTGGTGTCAGCGCTGGCAACGATGCTGGAGGGCGCGGTGTGGTCGGCACAAAAACCGATGCAAGCGTGGATGCTGAAATCCATTTAGGCGTCTTTTTTGGCGTAGGTGCTTCATGTTTTGGTGGCGTCGGTGCTGACGTCGACGTCGGCGCCAGTGCTGGCGGCGCTGAAAGCGTAGGTATTGGCGTCGGTTTGGGCGGCTGCGCTGGTAGTGGTGCTGACCTCGGTGCTGGCGTCGCTGCATGCGCCGATGCTTGGGTCGCTGCTGGAGGCTGTGCCGACGTCGATGTGAGAGAGAGCGTGATCCACCGCCGCTTTACTGTGGAAAATTGCCGCCCTTTTCCTCCGGAACCCGGGGGCCCACCCCCCCCTCCGAAAATCCCCCCCCCTGCCGTAAACCGGGGGCCCCCCCCCCCCCCCTCCTCCCGGCAATAGAAGCAAAAAAATAAAACAAAAAAAAAAAAAAACTAGCAATAAGAAACAAAAACCCCCCCCCTCCCCTAACAGCCCTCCCACCCCCCCCCCCCTCCCCCTCCAAAGCCGGGGGGGGTCACTCACAGGTTCGAACCCCTCCCCCCCCCCCCCTCCCCCCCTCCGATCCGGAAAACCGGGGGGGGGTCCCCTGACCGGGTTGGAACCCCCCCCCCCCGCCCCCCCCTCGAAACCGGAGGGGGGTCACTACCGGTTCGACCCCCCCCCCCACGCACCGCCAGCAAACGACTCCCGGTCCCTACCACCGCTCGCATCACATCCCCCACTGTTGTTCCCAGCACCACTGTCCTCACCACCACTGTCCCCACTGGTTCCACCACCGTCCCTATTGTCCCCACCAATGCCCCCACCACTGTCGCACTGTCCCCACTGTTCCCACAACTGTTCCCACCACGGTTCCACTCTCCCCACTGTCTCCACGGACCCAACCACTGCCTATCCCCATTGTCCCCACTGTCCCACTGACTCCTCCGCTGTCCCACTGAGCTGTCCCACTGTTTCCACCACTGTTCCCACTGTCCCCACCACTGTCCCCACTGTACCTCTGTCCCATTGTCCCACCGCCGTCCTCGCCACCGCCTTTACCAGTGTCTCCACCACCATTTTACCCTCCACTGTCCTAGTGTTCCCACCTCATTCCCACTGTCCCCACACCACTGTCCCCACCACCACCGTTCCCACCACTGTCCACTGTCCCCCCTGTTCCCACCATTGTCCCCACCACTGTCCCCACCACTACCGTCCCCACCACTGTCCCACTGTCCCCCCACTGTCCCCACCACTGTCCCGCTGTCCCCTCACCACTGTCCCCACCAACACCGTCCCCACCACTGTCCGCACCCCCACTCGGTTTTCGAGGGGGGGGGGGGATTCGAACCGGTAGTGACCCCCCCTCTTTTCTTGATGGACTGGGGGGGGGGAGGGGTTCGAACCGGTAGTGACCCCCCCCGGTTTTCCGGAGGGGGGGGGGAGGGGGGGAGGGGTTCGAACCGGTAGTGACCCCCCCCGGTTTTCCGCCAGCAGCGGTAGAACACGCTCTTTCCGATGTGAGAGTCGATGCTGGCGTCGCTGCGGACACGCGTTGGCATCGATGCTTAGAAATGTGCTAACGTCGGTTGTCAAGTCGCTGGAGACGTCAATGCTGGCGCAGCTGTCATCGTCGATGTTGGCGTGGGTGCAAGGAGGTGCCCAGGTGTCGGCGCTACCGTCGATGCAGTCGGCGAGGCAGGCGTCGTTTTAGGCGTCGGTGCTGGCTTCGTCGATTGAAATTGTGCCAGGTACGGTGCTGGAGTCGATGCAGGCGCCGCTGGCGGCGTCGTCACGGTCGTCGTATTCGGCGACGGTGCTGTATGCGATGATGTTGCCAATGATGTCGCCGCAGGAGTCCCTGTGGAACGTCGCGCAGAAATGCGGCCGAACTCGGGAGCCCCGGTCGGGGAACCGTGGATGGCGGCGTCGATGCCAGCGCCCATGCCGACGTCGGCGCAGGCGTCGACGCGATCGTAGCCGAAGGCGACGGTGATCGCGTCGATGCTGAAGGTTTTGCTGGCGTCGGTGCTGCCGTCGATGAAGGAGTCGATGCTGTCGCCGCTGCAAGCAAAACTATCTGGAAAGCTGTGCGGGTGCTGGTGGTGGCGCCAGAAAATGCGTCGATGTTGGCTTAGCTGCAGGCGTTTGTGTCGGTTCCGATACAAGAGGCTGTGCTGGTGTCGGTGTTGACAAGGGTTCGGGCGTCGATGTTGGCGTGGAATCTGGCACCGGGCACCGGTGCTGGAACCATCGCCGCCGCCGCCGCCGCCCCGGCCGCAGCCGCCACCGCCGTGCAGTGCTCGGTCCATCCACAATTCAGTCTTCCACGGCATTGAGGTTGCCATCAAAGATAAGGGCGTTCAGGATGCCGTCTGCCATCAGGCACTTCGTGATGCCAGCATTGGCGGTGCGTCGCGCAAGTCGCTGGGTGCCAGAGCGTAGGACCCCACCTCAGCGACATGTTTGTCGGATGTTGCCTCCTTGTCTCGCCGTTCTCCCCGATCACGGTGATAGCAGCCCTTCTCCGCGGCATTGGCGTGGACGCTATTGGTGACGATGGTAAGGTCACTGGCCCCGATGTTCCCCTTCCTTGCTGCATAAGCCAGGCGTCGCAATGCGGCGCGACTGCGCCTCGGCATTATTCCCGAAAAGATCTCTGTAGCCATAGCCTTCGTGTCGAGGCTGGTCGACGCCATCGCCTGCGCAGCGCGCCGCACGTGCACGGGCCACATCCCGCCATTGCTTTGCAGGTAGTGGCTTGAGCCAAACTGGCTACGGACCTCCTCCTCGCCCTCCTCCTCCTCCTCCTCCTCCTCCTCCTCCTCCTCGTACGTCTCGTTCCTGATAGTCCCGAGCAGACTTTCCCCAATTGTTCCCCGAAGAGTTTCCAGAACAGCTGAGGGAAACCATACTCCGATAGCTTGGCCAATCTGGGGCGAACGTTTGCCCAGAGAAGTGTTTTCTGGCAAGATGGACTTTCGCGAATCCTTCCCACACTGGCCCACAACATGTTTGACAATGGTTGATGTCTCGCGCTCGCCCCTTCAGGATGGTTCAAGACGGCCCAAAAAAGCTCCCAAGATCTCCACAAGACGGCCCGAAGAGGTCTCCAAGCGAGCCTCCAAAAAGGCCCCCAATGGCCAAACTAATTGATCGGCTCCCCCAAGAATTCCCCGAAGGGCTTCCACAACGGCTGGGGGGACACATAGTCCGATAGCTTGGCCGAGCTCTGGCCACAACTTTGGCCAGCTAGGCGTGTCCTGACAGACAGGTGGCGGCGGTGGTTCGCCGCAGGCATCTTCGATGTCTCTGTATGCAAGACACTGCGAATACAAATTGGGTATGAACGGAAAGGGTGATACAACAAGAACAAGTATGCAATTACCGACGGCTCCCTCTCATGGTTATGCTCCCGTTTGCCTTACCATGGCCATCCGTACTCGTTCATGCCCCTCCTCAGCTATTACCCCCTGCCGATGTCACATCGCATTGCCCGACCCTTGTGAACAAATCCCCCCCGTGCTGCCCCGTACTGATACCCTGGTCTGATGTTCCTTCCTGCTTCGGCCGACGGTCCTGGAGGAAATTGGAAAAGCAATAGAAACATGACGAAATGGTGAGGCAGGAAGACGAAGCATAGGCGGGGGCAGAAGCGACAAATAGGAGGATACGAGACGAACGTGATGTCCGCCGACTCATAAGAACACCGCGGATGCTTTTACACTTTTCCAGTACCCGTGCGACCAGAGCGTGTCCGCGTCGGCGGGAAGCGAGCTCTTCACCTGGCAGCACAGCAGAGAGAAGCAAAGGCAGATCCGCATGGGCGGAGTCTCTCTCCAGGAGGAAAGGGGCAAAGTACAGGCAGACTCGGCAGCAAGGGCAAGTATCAGGACGGTTGCCGGAGGATGCGGAGGCCTCTTGCAAAGGATGCAAGGGTGCCAGACGAAACCCAACACATACAACTCCTGCTTGGTTTCGACTGTGAACCACAATCAAGAAGCAACAGAGGCACGATGCCAGCCACGAGGGCGAGGTGCGTGACTTCAGGGGAGGTGCGCGAGCACGGCGCGCCTGGCGGCAGCGTGACAGTCAAGGAGCTGCATTCCAGACGGTCCCCCTCTTCTGGGCGAGCCTCACCCGACTAATCCGCATACTCGTCCTCTGCCTTCTCCTGCTCACTCCGAAGCCTCCAGGGAGGTCTCCTGACGCTTCCCGGAGCTTCAGAAACCTCCGAGGCCTCCTGAGACCTCCTCCTGGACATTCCCCAGTACTCCAACGGACTCCTGAAGCCACATGATAGAGGGCAGAACATCCGCCCTCACAATAATCACCCCGACACGCGAAGCCGTTTAGTAAATGCACCCAGAAGGGATCGAACAGGGCAGGGCTGTTTAGTAAACGCCCACGGCCGATTAGTAAACGCCATTTCTCTGGTCCTGGTGGATTTCCCCTCTTGACATGAGGCCTCCTGGACTTCCAATTCATGCTGCCAGACTGCTCTACTAATCGCGGCGACTTCCATCGCTCGAGCCTTCGGGCGTCCTCGCAGATCGCGCCACCGACAGACAAACCAATTTGCGCGGAGGTGCGAATCGCCCGGCGCGCGTCCCGAAAGCGTGGCGCCGCAAAGAAAAACGTTTTGACCCACGGCCCTTGCATGCTGCAACCTGGAGGGGTCATCAGCCATGCGCACTAGTGTCGGGTACATGGGGATGTGTCGGAGTGTACATCGTGAACTGCGGAACAGAGGTGGCGATATTGATAATCATGGTGCCGCGGCCCACTACCTTGGCCTCACGGCGTCGTTCAAGCTGTGCCCTGGAAGACTTCAGACGATGCCCAGGGGACTGGATTGCTGAGCGGCGAGTCCCTCTACCAGGACTGGTGAGCCCGAGTGCACTTCCAGCTCCATCATAGTCAGCGCCGCCGATGACGCCGTCGCCGTGGTGGCCGTCGTCTGTGCGATCGTGGTCGTGGTCTTCGTCGCCATTGTCGCCATCGTCGTCGTCGTTGTCGTCGTCACGGCCGCGGTCGTCGCTGTCGTCGTCGTCGCTCTTGGGCTAGCGAGCGCGGTCGCCTCGGCGTAGACGTCCATGATGATAGCAATCAACATGTTGAGCATGATGAGGTTCACCTGCCCGCCCAGGCGCCATCGATCGAGCGGGCGCGCAGCTTCAGCCAAGCTGGGGCTCCAACCCCGTTGGCTCGCCGGACAAGGGACGATGCGGGAAGGACTGGCCCAGGGGGGTGGTGGGCAAGCGCCAATCTGGAATCGACGACACGCCACCGACGGCGCAGCCAAGGGCCTCTGATGGCGCAGCCGCGCGCGTTCCTGGGCGGGGCGGGCCGCCACGTCCCTGTCGGCGACCAGTGGGCGATTGGGGCTCGATGCTCTCCCCCCTGAGTCTCTTCCCTGAGAGGGAGAAGACAATGCGGACAATGCCGAGTAGGCTCAAGCGAGTCGCGAGCACTGAAGGAGAGGGAGAAGGAGGAGGAGGAGGAGGAGGAAGAGGAGGAAGGGAGGAGGACGAAAACAGCGACGGCGACGACCCCCTCCTCCCCGCAACCCCCTCGTTGGCGCGGGCGCCATTCTCCTCGCGCCCCTGCGGATGACCACCCCCCCCCTGCACTCCAGGGCGACGCAGGAGGGCGCCCCCCCCCCCCCTGGCGAGGGCGGAGGCTCGCCAGCAACATGAAGGTCACGAACCAGATCCACGCCTCGAGTCTGCCGATGCGCCTCAGGGGGGGGCGGGAGGCCGGGAGGGAGGAGCGGGCGAGGGAGGGACGGAGCGTATCCCCCCTCTCCTCGCCTCCCTCTCTTCCTCTGCCCCCGCCCGCACTGCCTGCGCCTCCTGGCTGGGCCTAAACTGTCATGCGGCCTGGCCTCCACTTCAGGGATGGTGGTGATCGACTCTGTGCCCGAAAATCTGTCCGTGTGACTGCAAGCATCGCCCAAGTGATTCCGAAAGCGCCAGGGTGTGACCGGAAATCTTGGGTCGAAGCAGAGGCGAATTCCAATGTCTGCCACACTTTCGGTCACAATACGTTGTCCGCCACTTTTTCGGGCACGTGTTTGGTCACCGAATGTTTTCGGTCACATACCTTTTCGGGGCCGGGCGACATACTGAGCAGGGACTAACCCTCCCGGCATTCCTACAGGCCTAGCACGAAATTCCCTCATAACCAAACAATCAGACACCAACCAAACACATGGAAGATCCTAACACCGACGTGCTAAAGCAATACGGTCTCAGCCAGAAGTGTGCGAACAACAGTTCGTACAGATCCACCGAACCCTTGGGGGCATCGGCGTGTAAGATGCTTCCCCTCCCCAAACCCCTCCCCCCGGGGCCTGGGCTGGTCGGTTTGGAGGGGGGGGGGGTATGGCCGGCCCCGGCGGAACGCACCACGGGCCTCACGGCGGGCCAGGAGGACCCCAAGAGGCTCACAAGATAGTCCAAGAGGGGCCCGAGCCGCCGATGCATCGTTCCAAGACGCCCAGGATGCCCCCAGACGGCCCAAGACGCCCCCGAGACACCCCAAGAGGCCCCCAAGAGGCGTCCCAAGAGGGCCCGCAGAAACAAAACTCGCTTCAGTGCCTCAGGGAAACGTCTGATTTTAGCACATACGCCTCTTGGGCTTTCACAACGTCCAAGACGGCCCAAGAGGTCTCAGAGTCGCCCCAAGACGGCCCAGGAAACCCCCAAGAAGGCTCCAAGACGGCCCAAGAGGGCCCCAAGACGGCCCACGAGGCCCCCAAGACGGGTCCAGGAGGGGGCCCAGACCCCAGACCTAAGAAGCCTCCAGGAGGCCTCAAGAGGCCCCCAAGAAGCCCCCCAGAGGCTCCAAGAGGCCCACCAAAGGCCAAACAGAGGCCCCAAGAGGCCCCAAAACAGCCCCCCAAAGGCTTCAAACTAAAGTGCTGCCAGGAGGACCTTGAGAGACCTACCAGGAGCCCCCCAAGGGGTCGGCGGTGCGGCGTAAGCCAAGAATCATACAAGGTTCATAGACATTGTTTGGTGGGCCTGTAGGCAAGCCAGGACGCCACGCCACTGCTTGACCATGAAAGCTGCGAAGCTCCGATCGTGTTCCTCCTTCTGCCGGGGGATCGGCTCCTCATCGAACGAGTCGCAGACGCGCCGCAGGTCGTCCATGAAAAGGAGGAGGAGGAGGAGGAGGGGGAGGAGGAGGAGAAGGAGAAGGAGAAGGAGGAGGAGGAGGAGTTCTGAAAAAAAGGAGAAACAAAGATGGAAGAGGTGAAGAGGAGGAGGAGGGGGAGAAGAAGAAGGAGGACATGCAGAAATGCTGCCCTGCCCGCCGCTGCTGCTCTCCATTCTCTGGCCCCTCCGTGTCCTTGCCCAGTCGGCCGCCTCCCACAACAACTCTGCAATGCCGTTTTCATACGATCGGCCGACAGACCGAGGAGCCGGATGAGGAGAGGGGGGGAAGGTTGAAGAGGACGAGGGCTGGGGATGAGGAGGCAGGAGGTCGAAGCAGAATAAGATGGGGGACCGTCTGGAGCCTGGGTGACCTGCGCGCCCCTGACCCCACGGAATATCCGACCTGGCCCGAGGCCACATTGCAAGGAGGGGGGACGAGGTGATGGTAGTGGTGGAGCGACGCCCCCAGGAAGAAAAACGGCATGACCAGACCTCTCGGAGGTCCGCGCGGATGTCTTGCAGCGGCGGCTGGACACCCCTGGCGCGCGGAGGCGCAGCCAGGGGGCCCAGCGCCGATCCAAGAAACCCGTGCGGACCTCAGAGAGAATACAGTAGGGGCCAATCCGCAAGGAACCTTCCCCAAGAAACCCAACCCTGAGACCCCAGGACGTCCATTGATTTTTGGCGTGGCAACGTCACGCTTTCCATAGCAAAACCATCGAAATCCAAGAAACCAAGGGCACCCTGGAGGCAAGCAGAGTGTTTCTTGGCATGGGCCCCCACTGTATGTCCGTGTCGTGCTTTGCCCTCCGAAAATCGGAAGCATGCGGCGGGGGTGCTGCTGCCTGGGCCCCTAACCCGCTCCGGGTTGCCCGCGGAGGCTCGCGCGCTCATCCCGAGCACACATCGGGCGCCACCTCGGCGGGGCATCCCGCTCTGCAAAAAACGGCGCGTGCCGGTCGGGCGGGCGGAGGGCTGCCTGGCTCCCCCGGACAGCATCACTGCCAGCCACAGCCCAGCAGCGACAACGAAAGGAGAACGGCCTATGGGGAGGAGGAGGGGGGGAGAGAGAATCATGTCTGCTCTCTATCCGCGGACGCGTGTCATGGCCGACCTGAACTTTCAGAAACGTGCCATGTGCGATCGGAAAAGGAGAGCTGTGTACGTAGGAGGTGGTGGGCGGGCAGGAAGATGGGCAGGAGAAAAAGGAGGATGCAGCGAGTGGATGAGAACGAACAGCAGCAGCAGCAGGAATTGGAGCCGAAGGAACGTGAGGAGCAGGAATGCCAGGGGAAGGCGCACGAGGGATCATGAGGGGGGCGGCAGCGACGGAAGAAGGCTCGGGTGCAGAGCAGTTGTCCGCGCTGAGGCGAGATCGCCATTCTGAACGACGGGAGCACCGCGCCGATCCAAGAACGAGGCCCACGCTGCAGCGGGAACACCATTCCAAGCACAAAATACAATCGGAGTGCAGCACCATTTCAGAAAACCGACCTTTTGAAATCCTGTGCAGGGCAATACACGGAGATGGCGGAACATCTTCCACACATAATCAGGGGGACGAGGAAAGTCGTATTCGTAATCTATAGTTGTGGACGGATGATGAGGACGAGCTAGAGGAGGAGAAGGACGCGGAGGCGGCGGAGGAGGAGAGGAGGATGAGGACGATGGCCCAGTACAGTCCCTCGATGACTCGACCTTTGTTCCAATTTCCCGCCCCTGGACTCCTTGACTCAGGACTGCTGTTTCACAATATACGGCCCTAAAATTACGAAACGGCAAAGCACTCTGGCGCGATGTGATCCAGCCTCCGGATATCCGGGGAGGAATGAGCACCGCTTAACCGATCCGCGTCCCCGTAGGTGGGGAGATATGCGGTTCCCATCGGGCTTCGCGGGACACATATCCACCTGGGGTGGCTGGGCGAACGGGGCCGAACCACACTGGCCCAGTGGGAAGGGAGATCGGTTCGACGACGATGAAGGAAGATAGAGGAACAACAACAACAACAACAACAACAACAACAACAACAACAACAACAACAACAACAACAACAACAACAACAACAACAACAACAACTACAACAACAACAACACCAACAACAACACCACCACCACCACCAACAACAACAACAACAACAACAACAACAACAAGTGCATGAACATAAACTTTCGGCGCTCCGCGCGGATTTCTTGGATCTGCGCTGGACCACCCTCCCTGGCGCGCGGAGCGCGCCAGGGGTGGCACCCGAGGCGCCGCCAGGGGCACCCAGCGCAGATCGCCGAGAGATCATGCTTGTGCTGCTGTATGTCCTTCGGACTAACGCAGGGACCGGCATGAGGGGGAGAGGCATCGACCTGGAATCGGCGATACGTCGCCGAGAGATCGGCGCTGGACCCCCAATTGCTCCTCTGCGCCTTCCTGGGCAGGTTGGGGCCACCGGGCCCCGATCGGCAATCAACGGGCGACTGGGGGTCGATACATCCCTCCGATGCCGATCCACCCCTGTCGTTAGGTCGGGCATGTCCTCCTACAGGGGGATGTCCGAAAATACCGAAAGTAGTAAAAAATAACCCCTGACTACATTTTGACTATTTACGAATATTCCTCCTGTAGAGGGACAGGCCCGACTTAACCCTATCGTTGCTCCTGAGAGGAGGGCCTCATCTCTTCCCAGTCGAAGTCGCCCATCACGATCTTGAAGGTCGCGTCGAGGGCCCGCTCCGTGGTGGAGAACATCAGGAGCTCCTGCCAAGGGGCGCCCTGGTCTCTTCCTCGACGTCCCCCCTTCTCCTCCTCCCCCTGCTCGTTCCTCCTTCCCCTCGTCCGCTCCCCGCTCCTCTCTCATCCCCCTCCTCGCCCTCCCCCCCTCCTACCCCCTATCCTCCTCCCCGTCCTCCCACCTCTGCCTCCACCTCTCCTCATCCGCTCCTCGTTTTCCTTTTCCTCTCGCTCCACCCTCGTCGTCCCGTTCTTCCTCCTGAAGTTCGGACCCGCCGCCCCCAACCGACAACCAAAACTGTCTTGGTCGGAGACAGTCGTGAGGTTGGTGGGGAGGGGTATGGTTCATTGTATCATAGAGGGCACACGGTTACTAGAAGGCGCCCCCTGCCTCCGCAAACGCTCACCCCGCAGGAGCTCTCCTGCCCAAACAGCAGCATGCCCGAGATCGTGTAAATGAGGAACACGGTGAAGAACACCACCGCGAAGTGGAAGATGTCCACGGAAGCCTCAACGACGACGGCGGCGACGGCGAGGACGGTGCGAGGGCGACGGCAAGACATCGGCGAGGGCCACGACGTTGAACAGCGACGCCGGCGGCGACGAGATGACGGCGGCAATATTGAATGCGAAAATGAATCGGACGCCGATGGCGACGACGACGGCGACGCAGATGACGTCGATGTGAAGACTGCGCGACCGCGGCGCTGGTCACGACGACGACGCCGACGGCGGCACAAAGATGGCGACGACGAAGCCGGCGGCAAAATACGTCGACGGCGACGACGAAGGGCCACGACGTCAACGACGCCTACGCCGACTCGCAACAACGACACCGCGACCACGGCCGCGCCGCCGCCGACAGCAACGGCGAGGACGACGGCGCTGGCAGCGGCGCCGAGGTTGACGCTGTCCGCCGACGGCGGTGTCGGCTGATCCTAGCCGCGCTCATCCGAGACCCTGGCGCCGGCGCCGCCGACGCCGACGGTGCCGACGCCGATTGCTGCGACAACGACAGCGACGCGACCTCGGCGCCGAGACGAGCACCGCCTGCCGACGGCGGCGATCGCCGACGGCAACTGCAGCATCCAGGCGGACGAGGAAGAGGGGAAAGGAGGAAGAGGAGGAAGAGGAGGAAGAGGAGGAGGAGGAGGAGGAGGAGGAGGAGGAGGGATGGGGGGAGGAGGATGGGGATGGAGGAGGGGGGGGGAGGAGGAGAAGCAGGAGGAGGAGGAGGAGGAGGAGAAGGAGGAGGAGGGAGGAGAAGAGGAGGAGGAGGAGGAGGAGGAGGAGAAGGAGAAGGAGGAGGAGGAGGAGGAGGAGAATGAGAAGCAGGAGGAGGGGGAGGAAAAGGAGGCGGGAGGAGGAGGAGGAGGAGGAGGAGGAGGAGGAGGAGGAGAACGAGGAGGAGGAGGAGGGGAAGCAGGAGGAGGAGGAGAAGGAGGAGGAGGAGGACGAGGAGGAGGACGGAGGAGGAGGAGAGGAGGCGGGGGGAGGGAGGGGGGGGAGGAGGAGGAGGAGGAGGAGGGGGAGGAGGAGGAGGAGGAGGAGGAGGAGGAGGACGGGGAAGAGGAGGATGATGATGATGAGGAGGAGGAGGAGGACGAGGAGGAGGAGCGGAGATGACGGGAGATGACGGCGAGAGGCACCCGACGGTGGCCCGACAGACGCTCGCGTTGCCCGAACGGGCGGCCTCAGATGGGCACCGGGTCGCCGATGACGACGACCTGCACGGCGCACGCCGCTTCGCTCGGCCCAGGATGGCCAGAGCGGCATCAGGCCGCGGCCGCGGTGGCCCGCCTGGACTGGGAGCACTCCCCCAGCGCTCCTCGCAGGCGGCGGGGACCTGGGCGCCAGCAGGCCGCCACCTCACCCGCGCGCCGCCTGCGGGCCAGCACGCCACCTCGAGGGCATGCCGACCGTTGGCCGATCAGACACCAGCCGACAATGCCGCGGCCAAACGCCCTCAGCACCTCACACCCGAAGAACGACTCGGAGGTGCCAAACACGACGAAGAGCACCTCCGACTGGCGCACTCCGCCACTCCAAGCGGCACGTTTTCAGGACATGGTCGAGACTCTGCCCCGACCCACGATTCAGCCAGCAACTCCCCGCCAAGCAATGGCCTCTCCGCTCTTCGGGTGACTGCCTGCCTCCAGCCTCCGAAGCCGCGACTTCAGGTTGGACAGGTAGGTCCTCGCATCGCGACCCTCGCCAGTGGGCAAGCCGCGGCACGGCTCCAGCAGCGCTCTCGACGTGCCGCTGCCCGACCAGGCCACACACACACACACACACACCTGGCAGAAGATGGTGGGGCCAGCCCTGCGCAAGCGGTGGCCCTGCACGTCCACCGCCGTGTCGCCCAGGGCCCAGAGCGTCGACGGGGCCTCGGCCAGGTCGCCTGGGTCCAGCAGCCCCCGGGATGCGTCCAGCGCAGCCATGGCGAACGAGCCACCTCGCTCACGCTGCATGGAGAGCACAGGAACTGCGCCCGCGACGGACCTCTGGTGGCCGCCGTGGATCTGCAGCACCGCCGACACAGCACGACCCTGCCGCCACGCAGAAGGACCAGCTAGTGCCGCACCACCGCCACGGGCGGCGCGCTCGGGGGCCCCTTGCAGGGGCGCGCTGCCGAGTCCGTCACCTGCCAGCTCGGGATCTTCAGCATGCGCTGCATGGCCCACGCGATGTAGGCCGCGACCTGCTGGTGGCACTCGACCTCGACCCCGTGGGAGTCAGCGCAGCCCTGCGAGACCGCGTGGGCCCTGGCCCCTTCCTGCGCGAAAAAATGTCCGCACGCAGCTTCCCCCGGGAAGACGAGGAGGGTGCGGCCCGCGCTCCCGGCACTGCTCGAGCGCAGTGCGCGCGGGAATCCAGCGCACCGCCGGCCGCGCAAGCTGCGCGCGTAGGGCGCGCCGCCAGACCATGGCGTCAAAACCAAGACGTAGCATAGCCTTGGCTTCTTAGCCCGTCTTGGAAGGTCAGGGAGGGTACCCTCCCCGAGCTGGCCTCGACCTCAACTGCTCGAGCGCCGCGCCCCAAGAGGCCGCCTCCCCGGCGAGCCCCGGCAGGTCCGTGACGACGCCGTCGACGGCAGGCCCGCCGAGCTAGGGCGAGAGGACCAGCAGCGCCTGCAGCAGGGCGTGCCTCTCCGCGCGCCCTACCGTCTGGATGGGGGCCCGGCAGCGGCCCGCGCGCGGCGCGCACAGGCAGGCCCTGCGTCGAGACCTGCACGGCTGCCCAGCCGCACCTCCGCAGCCCGGGCATCGACGAAGTCCGAGCCGTCCGTGAAGACGACGTTGCCCACGCGCGTCATGTCAGGGGCGGCGCTCCAGTCGCCCCAGTAATAACCCTTCGGGGTGCGCTCCGCAGGCGGCACGCTCGGTGGTACGCATGGGAGGCAGGTCGACAGCGCGAACTCGTCCCACGCCTGAGGCCCTGGTCGCGCATGGAGGCCCAGACCACGTTGCGCCTCTTGCACCTCGCCCTTCTCCTCGCCCAGGAACGCTGGCTCCAGGAGCGTCTCGCACCCGAAGAAGCGGTGCCCAGGAGTGTCCGACTCCGCCCCGCATGCGGCGCATTCGGACGAGGCGGCCAGCTTCGCGTCGAATTGCGCCTGCCTGGTCCAAGGCGCCCCTGCCCAGTGGACGCGCAGGCCCAGGGCCACTGGACCTGGAGGAGGAGGAGGAAGAAGAGGATGAGGAACAGGAGGAGGAGGACGAGGAGAACGAGGAAGAACAGAAGGAGGAGCAGGAGGAGGAGGAGGAGGATAATAACGAAGAGGAGAGGAAGGACGAGGAGGAGGACGAGGAGGAGGGAGGCGGAGGCGGAGGAGGAGGAGGAGGAGGCGGAGGAGGAGAGGGCGGAGGAGGAGGAAGAGGAGGAGGAGGAGGAGGAGGAGGAGGAGGAGGAGGAGGAGGAGGAGGAGAGGAGAGGAGGAGAGGAGGAGGTGGAGGAAGAGGAGGAGGAGGAGGAGGAGGAGGAGGAGGAGGAGGAAAAGGCAGAGGAGGAGGAGGAGGAGGAGGAGGAGGAGGAGGAGGAGGAGGAGGAGGAGGAGGAGGAGAAGGAGGAGGAGGGGGGGGGGGAACGGGAAGGAGGAGGGGGAGGAGGAGGAGGACGAGGAACAGGAGGAGGAGGAGGAGGACGACGAGGGCGAGGAGGAGGAAGAGGAAAAGGAGGAGGAGAAGGAGGAAAAGGGAGGGGAGAGAAGCAGGAGGAGGAAGAGGACGAGGAGGAGGAGAGTGTGGATGATGCTCGCGATGACGATGATGATGCTGATGCTGCTGACGATGCTGATGACGAAGGGAAGGAGGGGGGAGAGGAGGAGGAGGAGGAGGAGGAGGAGGAGGTTGAAAAGGAGGAGGGGGACGAGGAGGAAGAGGAGGAGGACAAAAGGGGGGGGAGGAGGAGGAGGAGGAGAAGGAGGAGGAGGAGGAGGAAAAGGAGGAAGAGGAGGATGAGGAGGCCCGTAGCCAGTTAGGCTGGTGTGGCCACATCGGGACGCCCCCCGCCTCGAGGTGGTCCAATGAACATGAGCGGGGCAGCGAAGCCCTGGAGAACCCGGGACAAGGGTCTCCGATTTCACATCCGCGCACGAGCGCACGCAGATCCGTTCGCAGTTGGTGTTCCGCCATTGGGCGGCACCAGGAAACAAGTGCAACCAGTATTCCTCTTCGGCAATGGATCGGCGCGAAAGGCCGTGGAGGCGTGGCGATGCGCGGACGGCAGGCAGTGGGTAAGGTAATCAAGGTGGACAGGGGCGCGGCCGCAAAGAAGGTCAGCGCGATCGAGCTCCTCCCAAGCGGGCCACCTCCCGTGGGCAGCGAGAAGATGCGCAGGAGCCAGTCTCGCTGGGACTGCGCCCTACGCAGGTGCACGAAGAACCTCGACGCGCGCATATACTGCAAGCGCTGCCTCGAATGGAAGACCATCGAGGCGCCCACGAAGGTCGCCGCGCTGGCTCTTCCCGCTCGTCCTGGGGGCCAGGGTCAGCAAGGTTCTCGAGGCGCGGCGCGGCGAGCGCTGTCCGCCCAGGGGGGGGGGGGGGACTGCACCTCCGCCCGCGTCGCTCGTCGGGCCCAGCGGCAAGGCTCGCGGGGCAGGGCCCTCCATCGCAGAGGTCGAGACATTCATCGGCATTACCGAGCGGATGGGGAAACGGCCGACAGCGGACAAGTGCAAGCTTCAGATCGAGGAGCTGCGAAGAGGCCCAGCATTCATTGTCCAAGAGCGCGCCCAGAGAGGCCATGACCGCATCCAGCAGCTGGAGGACATGCTGGGCAGCGAGGTGGACGAGGTGGACCAGTGTCAGACCTGGGTGGCGATCCAGTCCGCCTGCGCGCGGAAGTCCGAGTCCACGTCGCACGAGGCCGACGCCGAGCGTGCGAAGATTGTCTCGCAGCTGGCGCGCACGGTGGCAAGGGAGGAGGCACCGAAGCAGGCCGGGGCCCCCAAGGTGCCCCCCGCAGAGGTGGTCGACGGTAGCAGGGGCGTGGCCAGTCTCATTGACCTCGAAAGTTTCCAGGTCGGAGACATGGTTGAGCTCGCGCGCGAAGATGTTCTCCAGATGGGCGCTCGGAAGGAGCAGCTGCGGCAGCAGGTGCAGGTGGCGACCGAGGGCCTGTTCCAGGACGCGATGGAGAAGGTGGAATCGCTCAAGGCAGAGAACGCTGAGTAATCAAGCGGATGGCTCGCAAGCGGAGTCGCCATGAGAGACCGCGGCCAGCAGCCGAGGCAAGTGGCGGTCAGGGCTCGGACGGCTTCGTCGACATGGGCCGCAGCGACGCCTCTCTACCCGCTGAGCTGGGAGGCCCCGAGGAAGCCGAAGGGCGCCGTCGGAGGCGCGGCCGCTGCGGCGGCGGCGGCGCCAGCGGGGCCGGCAGGGAAAGGAGGCCCCAAGCAGATGGTCACGTTCGCAGACGCGCGGGCGCGTGCTTTTCGGACGCCCGGCGGCAAAAGCGCAGAGGCCGCGGAAGGTGCAGCAGGGGTCGAGACGGCTAAATATTGACCCCGTCGTTGGGCGCGACGGAATCTGACGGCCTGGACTTCGAGAGTTCCGACGGGGGGGGGGGGATCTACGTGTATTCCGACGGCTTCCTGTGCGTCTGCGACGATGACTACGACCGCTCGCCCTCGGAGGCGGAGCTCGCGGCTGCGGCGGCCGCTGGCGCCTCTGCACTCACCTCCCCAGCGATTACGACCCCAGGTGGCGATCGCGCTGGGGAGGCAGAGCTGAAGAGCAAGGCCGTGCTGGGCAATTGCACGGGCAAGAAGCCGCCTTCTGAGCCCTCGGATCTTTTTTCTAACTTTTCCTGGGGCCCAGGGCGCCATTCGACCTGCCCCTCGGCGGGGCCTCCTCGCCGGCCGACGTCGGGCGCGGCTCGCCCATGGGACCTCCAACTGCAGCAGGGCGCGTGCCGGGCGGGCCAGTGGGCGAGGGCCCCTGAGCCGCTGCGCGCGCAAGAAACCCATATTTTCGCTTTGCTGCTCGCCTGACACTCGCTGAAAGTTTTGCGCCCAAGGGCCCCGGGAGGCCAGTGTGGAACCAGCCGCGCGCGCCCGCCATCTCGCCACCAATTGCAGGGCGCGGCTCCAAGCTCGTTTTCGCAAACGCCGCGTGCCAGTACTGACAGGTTTAAGCTCAGACTGGAGCGCAGAAATGTTGGGTTGCAACGAGCCCGACGTGAACGCCTCCTCTGCATCCTGCCGGCTCTCCGCCATCTTCCAGCCCGATGCCCCCTCGGAGCCCGCGGCGGCCCAGGCGGAGGGCAAGCGCGGCTCGCTACGCGTCGAGACTTGTAACTGCACTTCGCTCGGCTCACGGAAGCGATGTCTGGAGGCGGAACAGAGGCGTCCATAGTCTGCTTCTAAGAGCTGACCCTCAAGTCCTCCGCGGAGGTCGGGGCCGCGCTCAAACGCCAGGGGTGGGTGGCCTGCCCCCGCCCGCCCATCGTGACGGACGCTGGAGGACTGTCGTGTGGGGTTGGAATCGCGGTGAGGAACCACATCGGAGTAGGTTACCCTCCCCCCCCCCCCCCCTTTGCCTCCCTGCCCCACGCCGATGCGTGCTCGCCTTGGTTAACGTTTTCGCCCCCCGCTGGCGCGTCGGCCTCGCCCTCCGCGGGGACCCTCGCATCGACCATGTTTGGGCGCTGCCGCGTCCGAGATCCTTTTCTTTGGATGTGCCCCAGGGGCCCAGGCCAGCTCCACCTGACTACGCCGCGACCCTCAGGATGGCCGAGATCAGGGGGGGGGGGCCTATCCCCTGGATGCCTGTTTCGATCGGTTCCTAATCAGGTCCATGGCGCAGCCTATGTCGGACGTGGTAAGCAGAAGCGACTCAAACAAGTTCCAACGCTGCAAACCTCGGGAGGGGATTTTTTTCCGCTTGGACGCCCCGTTTCGCGAGGCCGGCGCAAAGGCGGCATTCGGCCCCACGAATTGAGCCGCATCAAAGCCAAAGGAGAAACTTGGGGCCCAGTTGAGTCGCGGCGCATTGCCCGCAAACGTTTCAAAGGACCAAGGCGCCTTAGGAGTAATCACAAATGGCAGGTCTGGAAGCCGCTGTTCGAGGACGTCCTTCTCGCATGCTCTTCGGAGGATCTGCTAGCACCCAGGACCGAGGCCATCACGATGGCTGATAGGCTGGAACAACAATGCGAACATCAACGGGGGGGTCGCTGGAGAGACTGGGCCCACGAGGCCGTCGGCAACAGAGGGGGGGCTGCCCACAAGTATAGCAATGCCCCAATTGGGTGGAACCCTGCGACCGTCAAGCCTGCCCCCCCTCCCCCTCCTCGACCTGGGGCCCTCGTGGATCAGATGCAAGATGTTTGGGAAGCTGCGCGGCCCCTTCCTGGCGAGGCCGCCTCCCCCCCCCGATGCCCTGGCGTTTTGGGCGGGCACGTCCAGGAGCTCAGAGCGGTTGGGGATGAGTGCGCCATGGTCCCTGACCCTTGAGCGCTGCACCCCAGCTGCTGCTCGGGCGGTCGCCAGCAAGCTTAGGCAGCGCGCGGCGCTGGGCGCGGGCGCGACTCATCCGAGGGGCATGTCCAGGGTCTCGGACGGTTGCCTTGAGCCCCTGTGTGCGATTTGGAGCTGGTGCGAGGCCCTGGGCCGAGTGCGGATCCAGCTCGCGCCCATGTTCGCGGCGCTCCTTCCGAAAGCAGACGGAGGCTTCAGGCCGATCGGACTCCTCCCAAGGATGAGCAGAACATTCGGTCAAGTCGAGCGGCGTGAAGCCGCGTCCTGGGGGGCCAAGCAGGCCCGTCGGCATCGCTATGGAGCTGATGGGAGAAGCTGCGAGCGCGCGTCGCGGGGGCAAGCGAGCCGCCGAGTTTGGTGGCCTCGTTGGGATTGGGGCGGGCGCGGTCTTGATAGATCTCACCATGACTTGCGAACAAAGGTGCTCTATGTTCTGTTGGTCCACGCGGCCATTCGTCATGGCTCCCCTCGGTTAGGCCTAGGCATCTCATCGGCATGTGACAGGCCCCGCAGTTGCTCCAGATGGGCCAGGTTTTCTCAGGTGTCATCTCCGCGCGGCATGGGGCCATCGCTGGATGCGCCTTCGCCGCCAGCCTCATGCAGTTGATTCTCTTGAACACTATAGGCGCCATGTCGATTCATTGGCCCAGCGTCAGGGCGTCGAAGGTCGCGGGCGACATCGCGTCGTTCGCAGCAGGAGCGGTCGCCGACTTAGGCAGCCGTCAAGGCAAGGCTGCGAGCTACAACCTCAATCAGCTCGAAGGCCTTTGTCTGGTCATCTGCAGGGGCGGAAGGGCGGTTCTGGCCACGGACGGGGTGTCGGGGCTGATGCCATCTAGCGTATCAAAGCGTGGGAGTAAAACGTCTCGTCGGCCACCAGGAACCTTGGAGTGGATGTTTCGCAAAAGTAACGGAAGCGCAACGTTGGGATCCAGAAGAACAGGCTGGCTGCGCTGGTGCCGAGAGTGACAATGTTTCGGGGGCTCTGGTCGCCCCTCCGAGGCGCTGCCAGAGTCGTCGAGGCTGGCGGGCTCCCGTCTGCGGCGTATGGTGGCGCGGTCGTCGGCATCGCGGATGCCCGCCATCGCCAACTGCGCTCTCTGCCGGCGGGTCAGTCGGTCTTTGGAACCACCGTGGACGATCGGGAACCTCAGAGTACCAGTTGAAGCGGGGGCCCTATGGCTGACCCCACTTTTGCTGCCAACGCCGCCCCATCTCGACGCGGCGTTTGGCCCTCCAGGGGGAGTGGGCCCCTGCCGCCCAGATGAAGAAAAACTGCGACGTGTTTGTTTTGCGTGCCTGGCTTTGGCTGGGGGCAGGTGACGGGACCCGCCGGGGCCGCGCGGTGCACCTTCATCGCCTCGGCTGGACGGCTCGAGGATGTCGCGATTGGGTCACCTGCCGCGGTTTGTCAGTCGACCCCGGGCACATGGGCAAAAGGGCGCCCAAGGTGTAGATTGAGCAGAACATGCAGCGGGGATCGGTCCAAAGCGTCGCTGCGAAAGTCGAAGGGCTGGCGGCTGGTCCGCTCCCCCAGCCGATAGTCAAAAAGCTGGGGCCCCTCGGAGCCACGGGCCGAGGGCTGGAAGCTGCGATGAGTTCGGGAGTGGTAGCTGGACGCTCCGCCACCCAGCGCCGCCCCTTCCAGGGGCACTCCCACGCGCGGATTTGTCAGCGGCGACGGCGTCCGTCTGATGCGAGAGAACCTTGACCTGGGGGATTACCTTGCCAGGGGGAAGGAGCGCGGCGGGTGCGGCCCAGGGACAACCAGGGCTCTGAACCCCAATCCCGAATTAATCTGGCCAGCCCTCCGCGATGACGCTGGGTTCGCGTGGATGGTCCACCCCCTGTTCGGTACCTTTGTTGCGGGCAAGATCTGTTTGGGCGGCCCTGCCGTGGGCCCCGACAGCGATCTCTTTGCCCGTGCGGGCTGGGGGGCCGCTTCCGTAGATGAAAGGGGGCATGTGACGGGCTCTATCTACGGTCATCTTCCCCGCCCGCTCCAATGGGCGGGAGGGGGTGCAGTTTGCGAGCTCCTCATGGAGCTTCGGCAGCTGGGGCCAGGGGAGACACAGCTGATCGCGGAATGCAAGCTGGTCCCTGCGGGCTGACCAGGATCAGTTCATATTCGTGTTCAGCAAGATCTGATGCGATATAGTTGCCAAGGCCACGGATGTGGGGTTGCACAAAATGACGGTGAGTAAAATCAGAAGCGACCTCTCTCGGAGCCAGGCCGTGGATCGCGGGGTCCGTTTCTGGGTGTTGGCTGGGAACCGAGAGGCGGCTCGATTGGCCAGAGAGCCGAGTTGCACCCCCACAGCCCTGAAGTGCGCCAGCTCTGTGCTGAGCAAGATGCCCTGGCTTCCCAGGGAATGACCCTCATCAACGAGACGATGGAATACCTGTCCAAGCTCGGACTTCCAGATGCTGAGCGTGTCCGAGCGAGGATACAGAGCAGGCCCTCCCAACCCGAACTGGTGCCAGACGACCTTGGCCATCGTCTGACGTGCGTGGGCAGAGACGCTACGTAAATACCTTTGCATGTTTGGCGGGGGGTCTGGCAGTAGAGTTGGCGTGTGTAGAACGGCCTGCGTCGGCCTTCCCAGGGTTGCAAGGACGGCCCATTCCACGCACAATCTTTAGATTGGGGGTGAAACAATTGTCAAATGTGCGAGATGCGGGGCCTTTTGGAGCTGCCTGTTCCCGGTATCTCGGTCAGGCCTGTCTAACCCACCCCCGAAAAAAGAAGCCAACATCAATTTGAAGAAACTGCGTGCTGGCATCGATCCGTTTTCGAATCGTGAATTTGGGCAGGGCGAAGCCCTCGCCCGTCCGCGACCTCGGGCTGGTGGCGCCTTCGGCAACTTCCACACTGCAGGCGCGCCGCAGCCCTTCTCTGCTTGTGGTCTGTTGCATAGCGGGAAGCACCATGGTTACGCAGAAGGAGGCAGAAGGAGGAGGAGGAGGAGGAGGAGGAGGAGGAGGAGGAGTAAAGGGATGGCGGGAGGACAAAGCGCTGCAACCAGCAAAGAAGGCAGACGGCGAAGAGCAAGGAGGGATGCCACAACGGGTCGAGACGGCCGCACCCCACGCTTCCGTTACCGAACAACGCCGCCCAACAACAGCGGCACCGCGGCATTCCGAACGCGCTCCCGCCACTTCGACTGGTCGGCAGGGGGCTGCAGCCGCGACAGGACGATATGGAACATCTATACCAGCACCGACTACGACGCGCGGCTGACCAACGCCATTCAAAACGACGCCGACGCAAGCAGCATCGGCGAGATGAACACCGACCGAAAAGGACCTGGACCTGAGGCTCGGACAGTCGATCCAAGGAGAGTGTGCATGGTACGAGACCATGGATGTGGTCTCCGCGCTGGTTGTCAGGCCCCCTTCAGCTACGTGGACCGCAACACCAGACAGTGCAGCAAGCGCATACAGAAGTATCGACCACCCATGGGTTAGGCCTGAACTCGGCGCTGCTGCACAAAACAGGGCTACGACAGAGAACGAGGCGTGGTGGCCCGCGATGGACTTGATGAAGGCGGCGAAGGCGAAACGCGTGCCGTTCATCATCGTGATGTCGCCAATGGGCACCGAGACCCACATCACGGCCACGGCCGAGATGAATGAATCTATGAGAGGATGCACTACGACGAAGCTCGAGACCAAGAGATGCGTCGTCGCCTACGGGGCCACCCTGGATGGCGACTCGGACGCGGACCTGGGGACGGCTGGCCCTCCAGGACATGCAGCTCGGCGACGGAGGCCGCGGCGATCGCGGCTGCGGCCGCCGCCGTGGCTGCGCAGAGCCTGGCCCCCGCGGCGCCGCCGCCACCCCCGCAGCCGCCGGGCGAGGGAGCCGCCGCGGCTGCTGCGGCGGCCGTGCGGAGCCTGACCCCCGCGGTGCCGCCGCCGCCCCCGCCACCGCCAGGCTGAGCGGGGCGGCGCGGGCGGGGGGGCTACGGACCCCCGAGGAGAGCTGCAGCTTACGATGAGGACGAGGAGTGAGGAGGTGCAGCTGCGGCAGCGAGGTTCGAGGATCGCGCCCGCGGCCGCGGCCGCGGCGGCGCGGCGAACGCGCGTGGATTCCGCGAGGCTGACGCCCCCCTCAGGAGTGGGAGTGAGAGAAGAGGAGGCGGAGGAGGCGGAGGATGAGAAAGAGAAGGAGAAGGAGGAGGAGGAGGAGGCGGAGGAGGAGGAGGAGGAGGGGGAGGAGGGGGCGGAAAGGCCGGTGGTCACCCCGTCGGAAGAGGCGGGCGCAGGAGGAGCGGCCCCCAGCGAGCGCGGAGCAGCTCGGGGAGAGGAGGAAGTGGTCGGCAAGGGATCAAGGGAGGAGCCCTCCTCCCTCGAGATCCGACGCCGATCCGACGCCACTTTTTGTTGAAAACTGGGCCCCCGAAGTCCTGGCCTCTTGCCTGAGACCAGCTCTTCCATCCCGAGAGTCCGATTGTGTCGGTCCCCGGGCCCGCCGAGGGCTCCCGAGAGGCCGAGAACGGCGAAATACATCCGTCTTGAATTTGGTCGAATCGTTGGAGGTCTGGATCTATCGCTTCTCCCGCCTCCCACCTCCTCATCTTTTTCCTCCTTCGCCTCGTCCAATCGCACCTCCTCCGACCCTGTGCTCCTGCTGTCTCCTCCTCCTCCCCCTCCTCCTCCTCCTCCTCCTCCTCCTCCTCCTTCTCCCCCTCCTCCACCTCCTCCCCCTCCTCCTCCTCCTCCTCCTCTGCTCCGTCCACCTGCTGGAAACAGACCACTGGACCTCTCAAGGGGTTGGCCTCGGCCAGAAGTCTAGAGGAAGGTTCAGCCATTGCGACAGTGAGCCTTCCAGGGAGCTGGCAAAGAGAAAAACACGTCCAATAATCACTACCCTCGATCCTCGAGCCTCCTCCTGAACAAAATCCAGCCCGTAACGATTCCACAGAACCCTCCCAGAGCTCATTCTGGCCATCTTCTCACCTGGGGGATGTTTGTTCACGGGGGCGCATTGAAAGGGCATGAAGAAACGTGCGCCTTTGCTGGACATGCGGTGGCAATCTAGGGGGCCCTTTAGGCTAACATTCCTGCCCGACGTCTGCCTCGGGCTTGAGTGGCCCTCGAGGGCCACTTGACCTCGGGGTCCCCGGGGGCCCCGCACGGGCACCGCGGAGGCCGCCTGTCAGGGAGAAGCCCTGTGGCGCGAACTGCTCCGCCCGACCCTCGACCCGCGGGCCTTCCTCATCCTCCTCCTCATCCTCCTGCTCCAGTTCCTCCTCCTCGTGTTCCTTCCTCCTCCTCCTCCTTCCTCCTCCTCCTTGTCCTCCTCCTCCTCATTCTGTTTCCTCCTCCTCTTCCTCCTCCTCCACCTCCTCCTCCTCCCACTCCCTCTCCCTCTCCTTCTCCTCCTCCTCCTCCTCCTCCTCCTTCTCCTCCGCCTCCCGCTGCGGGGTGGGCCTTCGACAGGGTCTCCGTCATGAGCGCGAGCCGGGGGGAGTAGGAGCAAAC